CAATTGTAGACACCAGAGATAGTGTGAGAAGAGGGTGGGAAAGGACAGAGCGTCAGAAAGAGGAGTAAAAAAATTCTAGGAACTAGAAATGGAAAAATTTTGATAATAATATGCATGATTAAGTCACTATGCAGTATATTCTGGATGGGAAATCACATTTTGTATGCTGTGATGATGCTTAAGGAAAGAATGTAAATTAAGTTACAAAAAAAAAAAAAGTTTCAGAAAAAAAAATATCTATTCAATGACTGCAGTAAGATATATAGCCCCAGCTAGTTGTTACTTTATAGGATGACTAAAGTTAGACTTGTGTTCATGGAAATATATATATCAGCTCTGTTTGCTATGAAAATATTTAGATTAATTAAGATCTTTAGTAATTCAATAAAATGTGGGAGGAAAACAGTATAGAAAGTAAACATAGATACCAGAGACAGTGTGGGAAGAGAGTGGGAGATGGCAGAGGGTAAGAGATAGGGAATCAAGGATGGGGGAAAAAAAGTAAAACATATAGAAAACAAGAAACGGAAAATTATTTGCTGACAATAACATGTTCGTTGATGTGCTTGATTGAGACAATATACAGTGTACTCTGGATGGAAAATCTCATTTTGTATGCTGTAATGATGTACAGTGAATGAATGCAAATAAATAAATTAAAATTAAAAAAGAAAATATTCATAGTATATATATATATATAGAGAGAGGTTGGACTGCGTCTCAAAAATAAATAAATATTGAAGTCCTAACAGTTGGCATCAGTGAATGGATATTATCTGGAAATATCTGGGTCTTTGCAGATGTAATTAGTAAGATAACTATGGTGGTCTTAATTCTAATGACTGATGTCCTCACAAGATAATGTGGGGCTGGCTCAATAGTACAACACTAATATGCTGCTCAAGCAATAGTAGATCCACAGGGAAAATAACAGGTTCATTTCCCTAGTCATCCTGCACTCACTAGGCACACACGGTCATGAACCTGGCGGGCTAGGAAAGCTGGGGAAATCAAGGCATGAAGTGCCGTTAGAGGAGCTTGTCTTTCTCATTCTCATGAAAGAAAGAAAAAGCAACAATAAAAAACCCATATAGGGAGAATGCCAAGTGAAGACAGAGGCTGAGATTGTAATAACATGTCTACAAACCAAAGACTGTGAAGGATGCCTAGAAGCTAGGAGGAGGGAAAGACAGTCTTTATAGGGAGCATGGCCCTGCCAACACTCTTGATTTCAGACTTCTAGACTCCAGAGCCAAAAAAGAATAAATTCTTTTCTTTGATGTCTTCTAGTCTATGATAATGTGTTATAGCAGACCCAGGAAACTAACATAGGCTATTAATGAGAATATGAAAGAAGATAAGTACTATTCAGGTCATCATTGAACTTCAGAAATAAAGAGTAAATTTACAACCTATCTGTAACTTTAAATTGCTTGACTACATTGCATTAGACTATTCTAAAATTAAAAACAAATATTGGCTTAGTGGGCCCAGTAACACAATACTCTGCAAAGCCAATCCACCCAGGAAGGTTCCGAGTTCTTGTCCTAAGCCTTCCCCGTGCAGACCAGATGTACATGTGCCCATGATCTGGGACTGGCTGAAGCCAGAGCTGGATAGCTGCATGAAAACCCTACTGTGGGTGCCTGTCTCTGTTTTATGCAGGAAAAAGAAAAAAAACATTTTTTAAGAGCTAGCTTATTTTCACTTTATGAACATTAGATACCCCACTGTACCCCCAAAATACTCTTATTCTTTTTACTTTAAAACTGGAACCTTTTGGGGCCAGCAGGAGGCATGATGGTTAGGGTGCTAGACTCCCACATGACTGATGGCAGTTCAAGTCCCAGATCTAGCAGCTTGCTGGCTCACTTTCCCACACTCTCTCTCTCTGATGACTAATAGCAAGTTAAAAAAAATAATAAATAAAATAAATTTTAAAATAAAATTTGGACCTTTTATAAAAGCTAAATGTTATGACTTAAAAGTTGTTCTCTCCCACATAATTCAAATAAATCTAATAACCTTCTAAATGATAAGATGTACCTAGAAGACAAGTAAGATGGTATAAATTTGTTTTGTGATCAGAAAAACATGGATTATTATCTACACACTTACTAGTTATATGAGAAATGTGGAAAGATCCTCTACTTCTCAAGGTCCTTTCTCTATAATTCTATTTTTTAAAGAGAGGTGGACATAATGGCTAGCTCAGTTTTTAATCAAGGTAAAAATAAAGCATTTAATAAACATCTCTTTCTATTTCCCTGAAGAAATGCAAAAATGTGTGGAATATCTGAGAATTATATTTTAAAGTCTGAGGAAAGCGTGAGAATACCTGGTTAGCTAATAACCTCTAAGAGTGAAGATGGTATACATCCCCCCTGGGGGGGGGTGATTTCTCGCTTTCTGTCTCTATGTCTCTGTCTGGCGAGCGCACACGCCCTATAGCGAAAACCTCTCCCCCACAAAAAAAGAGTGAGGATGATATAACAGGATAAAAAACTATACAGTGATAGTAATGGAACAATCTCTAAGTATCTAGCAGCAACATGAAGCAAGTACAAAAGCCTCCTCAGAATATAGGGGCCAACAGGTGCAATGGTGGTTAAGGTTGCTGGACTTCCACATGGCCAACCATGGTTCAAGTCCCAGACCCAGCAGCTTGCTTTCTCACTTTCCCTCTCTATATATATGTTTATATATATATATGTGTGTGTGTGTGTGTATATATATATAACTTGACTATATTAGCTACTTAATAAGAGTACAAAATTAAGTAAGGAACAAGCGAGGAAAAGGTCAGAAACGCAGATACAGCTAAAATGGGATGAATGTTCTCAAAGGCAAAGAGCATGTAACAAGGCTCCTGGAAGAGTAGATCTGACCCAGACAACAGGATGATAGGGTCAGATCTATAAGAGAAAGGAGGAATTCATGCCTTAGTAATCACATGAGGGTAACAGCTTATAAAAGCAAACAACTAGGGCTGGTAAATGGTGTGATTGTTAGGGGCACTGGACTCCCACATAGCTGATGGTGGTTCAAGTCCCCGACCAAGCAACTTGCTTGCTCTCTCTCTCTCTCTCTCTCTCTCTCTGTATGTCTGGCTCAATCGAATTGAAAATAACAATAATGATAAATAAAATAAATAAATCTTTAAAACAAAAAGCAACTCACTTAAGATGGAGTTTAAGGAATATATGAACCATAAAAAACAAAGAGCATTCAATCAACTTTGGGGTAAAAAAATAATTATCTTTAAAGTATCTTCTTCAGGCAGTATTTTGAATAAATAGCACGATAATACTAGTTGGAAAATGGAAATAAAAATTAACAACCACAACACATACCGAATGCCAAACATTGTTTTCAATGCTTTGCTTGTTTTAAGAGATTTAATTCTCATGACCTTTCTATGAGTTAGGTACTATTACTACTCCATTTTACCAGTGAGGAAACTAAGGCACAGAGAGGTTCAATAACATGCCCAACATGACAATATAAGATAGAATCAAAACGAATATTTGAAAACTGCTAAGTAGGATCTGTAGTAGGCAGAGATTGCCTAAAAGTAATTGCTATTAAAAGTGAATTTCACCATTTCCTCCATTAAATCACCAAACCCTCTCTCAAAGGCAAAAAAAATGTGTTTTTTCTTTTTCCAATTCTTTGTTGCTCTAGACTAGGCCTGATTTCCTTTGAGAGATCTTTCAAACTTCATACACTTTTATGATTTGGCCATGAAACTATTGCAATATGCAGCTATGTACTAAAATTTATTATCAAAAGGGGAAAAAAGAACTCCTTTCTTCCTTCCCCACCTACCAAGAAAACCACACAATTTGTTTCTCACAGGTTTCTTCCTCTAAGAGGACTAGAATAACTGTATCAATTTAAAGACATCAATACACAAATTAAATCAGTCTAAGTCCTCTGTACTGAACAAGCCAGATGCATTTCTTTAGAATGGCTGAATACTGCAATGCAATGTATCAGACTAGGCAATTAATTGAATTACTTAACTACGAGTTTAAACAAATGAATATATCCCGTTTTAACTGTATCTTACTGTTTAAGAAGGCAGTCTTACAACATTTTAACAGATACTATGTCACTTTGTTAACTTTAAGTCTAGCAGGGCACTAGATCCTAAATATAATTAGACGTGTTTTCTCAAACAATGACCTATTAACTCTATACTCCACCGACACCTAAGACCATTCTCTACCTTGGGAAAACATGTTAGCCACGGGAGTTTCTGGCGTTGGGAAAGTGGTGACACTAGACTTGTGTCTCCTAGCATCCCGCCCTGCCCTGACCTGCCCCTTTCGCATTTCCAGCGCAGCGTAAAAACTCTGCCTCCGCGGCGCAGCGAGACTTGGCTCCTTTTTAGAGAAGGGGAGCGACGGACTGCCAAGAACGTGGTACTCGTCCCAATGCGGGTGGGGGGCCAGATACCCGAGAGGACCCGACCACGACCTACTGGTCTTCGCGAGGGGGGACTCTAAAGCCACCGGGACACCGAGCATCGGGAGAAACAACGGGGAAGGAGCTACCGAGGAAGCACCTGAACTTCAAGCGCTGCGACAGCCGGACCAGGAGGAGGGGAGCTCCCGGTCGCAGCGCTGCCCGGGGTCCTGCCAGTAACGCCCCCGGGGTAAATGGAGCAGCTCCTCGGTCCTGGCCACACTCTAGAGGAGAGCCATGAACACAGGGAGTGAAGCCCACACCAGGCTCTCGGGCCCCTTATCCGCATTCGTTCCCTGAGCAGCTCTGGAACAACCCAGAGAACAGCACCCAGCGGGGTTTCAATATTTTACCTTGTGCTACGGTCCCAGCCGACCGCCATGTTTCACAGAAGCCCGGGTCGCCCGGGCTCCCGTGTACCCGGAAACATCGCGAGAACAAAAAGCCACTATCACCGCTGCAAACGTCAGAAGGGAGACAATATGAAGTTCTCGCGATATTCCCTGCTTACGGAGCGCTTAACCAGGAGGCGTGGTCAAGATGAAGGGGGCGTGGCTAAACCCAAAAAAGGCTGAAACTTATTTCAAGTGTAAACGCCGAGTCAGTCCAGAATTTGCTTCCTCAGAAAGGATACGTTGCTTTGCGACTGACCCTAAAACGAGTCGACTCCTCACCCCGTATTTCTTTATTAATGAGCGATTTGGGCGCAAAAATTACCACGAGAAACCCGAAAGCATATCATTTCGTCAATCTGCACTATTTTGTGCCGTCTTTCCCCATCAAGAACATTTCAACTTAGTTTTCCAAGCAGGCATAGGCGATGCTTTCATTTATTCAATGCTTTTATTGTCCAGATTGTAACTCCTTCTTCACCTTCCTTTGCCAGCACAGCACCTACTATGCCTTCAAATATTGGTTAAGAAAAGCACTTCATTGATCTTTTCCCATTATGTCATAATACAGGAGGTAATAGGAATTTGGAAAGAAAGGTAAAGAGCTGATGGAGAGCTAGCCCAGCGGTTTCCTCTTGACCCAATGGTGATCGGATTTTATGATCAAACAGCGAGATTTAAATGTTCTGATTTATTAACAAAGACATAATTATGACTGATGGTTATACAATGAACACAATTTTAAATGCTTTATCTGCCTTCTCATTTAATCCTCACAACACTCTTATAAGGCATTATATTTCCCTGTTTAACAAATAATGAATTGGAGTTAAGGGGTACATAAGTGATTTACCCAAAAGCAGACAACTGGAAGAAGGGACCTCTTGACCACGAAATCAAACTGTGCTTCAAAGGCACAAATAACATTGTTTCATGTAGGAAATAACCTTCAGTGAAATATGAAATCTCATTAAATTGAAACTATCCTACCCAATAAGGGCAGATTACTTTCACTGATGTAATTTTAGTTCCAGAATTTCAGAATTAGTACAAATTAAATTAATTTGAAGTTTCCACTTCCTTCACGTAATTAAGAAGAAACATAGAATAGAGGGTAAGATCTTAGACACTGGAGCCAAGATAATCTGAGGTTAAAGTTCTAGTTCAGCAATTTAGTAGCATGTGACATTGGGTACATTATTTCATCTTTTTGTGTCTCCAATTTTCTCATCTGCAAAATGAGCATCACAATAGCTCAAAGGGTTATGAGGATTAGGTGTGTTAATATATGTCTAAAATGTGTCTTCGTCTTAGTCACAAAGGCACCTGCAGCTCTTCTCTGTGGGTCTAAGATTGTGTGGGCTCTTATTTAGATGGAGACCGGCTGTTGTTCACTTAGTTACACCTGATCCCCGGTCTCTAGAGTTATCTATTTTCAGGGTAACAACTATCCCATGAGAGTTAGAGTTCCCACTACAGCAAAACTGACTAATTTGATTCTGCTTATTTAAAAAGAACAGCTCACCATTTTGTAAGCTACCAAATGAACACTACGCTTAATTTCCCCTGAAGATCAAAAAGAGAGTTATCATCATTATCCTTTGTTTTCAGTGATGGTGTATCTGGAAAACAATTTGCTTTAGAAAATGAACAAAAAGCTCATTCCATTATGTATTACCCACAGAAGATAGGTTTCAGACAGACAACTGACCCAAAACAACCTGTATTTAGTCAAGATGCTCAAAAGATGTTTTCATTGCCATTTTTTTCCTCCACAGAAGTTAGGTTTCAGACAGAGATTAACAACTGACCCAAAACAACCTGTATTTAGTCAAGATGCTCAAAAGATGTTTTCATTGCCATTTTTTTCCTCCCTATGGTATTTTTTTTCTTTTTTTCTTTTTTTTTCTTTGGAGAGGTTTTCTGTTTTTGTTTTTGTTTTTGTTTTGTTTTGCTATAGGGTACATGCACTCACCAGAAAGACAGAGACAGAAAGACAGAGAGATAGAAAGCAAGAAATCACCTCCCAGGGGGGATGGCCATGCCATAATCCCTTCTCCTCCATTCTTCTCTTGGGATCTTGAGCACGCACTCACACATGGCCAGTGTGAATTTTTGCCACCGGTTCTGGGACTCAAACTGTGGTCGACTACATGGGAGTCCAGCTACATGGCCATTACGTCAACTGCTGATCCCTTTATTTTCTTTTTTAAGGTATGTTCACTCAACAGAGAGCACAACAAAGAAAGAAAGAACCACCCAATGGGGCATGGTCAGGCTGTCATCTTTTTTCCTCCATCCTTTCCTGCCAAGATTTTGGGCATGCACGCATAGGTGCTGGGTATATTTTTCAAGCTGCCAGGGCCAGGATTAATAAACTCATCTGCCATGTGGAATCCAACTTGTAATGCATGGCACTTAATAGCCACACTATGGGTCAGCCCCTTTCTCTACTTTGAGTAAAAGTTTCAGTGAGTTAGCAAAACAATTAAGATACTATTTTTACTATATGAATGCCCACAAGACCTCTAATTCAGTATATCCCAAATGCAATTTGTGCATCTTCTGTACCTCCTCCTCTCTCTCCCTAGTAATCCCAAAAATTAGTCTGTTTTGTCCCCTTATCTGCTTTTAGTTTAGGTAATTGTCAATGTCACATTCAAATTTTGTAGTTATATTTTTTTAAAGTATTATTTTATTGAATTTTATTTATTTATTTTCCTTTGACCAGAGAGGGGTAGAGTGTGAGAGCAAGAAAGACAGGGAAGGTGAGAAAGGAAGTTGCCAGGTTTGGGACTCGAACCACGGTTGGCCATGTGAGAGTCCAGCACTCCTTTTTTTTGAGAGTTTTGGTTTTTTGTTTTTTGTTTTTTGTTTTTTTGTTTTTTTTGCTATAGGGCGCATGCGCTCGCCAGACAGAGAGAGACAGAGAGACAGAAAGCAGGAAATCACCCCCCAGGAGGGATGGCCACACAATCCCTTCTCCTCCATTCTCCTCTCGGGATCTTGGGCACGCACGCACACGCGCCCAGCATGAGTTTAAGCCACTGGGTCCGGGACACGAACCGCGGTCGACTACGTGGGAGTCCAGCGACATAGCCATTACGCTAACTGCTGGTCCCGAGAGTCCAGCACTCTTAACCACCATGCCACCTGCTGACGCCTGTATTTATATTTTTAGACTTTGTAGTCTTAAATCATCTTTGCAGGTGCCAAGCTGGGGCTTTAAAGTTTACCTGTGGTGGTGAGTTTCATAGCCAGCAGCAATTCCAACACAGGACTAATTGCCAGCATACAAAAAAGAACTTGCTCCACTAATCGAAGGACTGAAACACGTTGTGGAAATGTCTTAATCTGACAGTCCTCTCAATGTGTGTTTTATTTTCATTGTATCAACCCAGTATCAATCCATCAATCTTTAGAACACAATAATATTTATATCCTCATACTCAAGTAAGTATACCTTATATTAGAGAGAAAGCCTACAGATGTAATGATTAGACAGATCCAATAATATTTATATCCTTGTACTCAAGTAAGTATACCTTATATTAGAGAGAAAGCCTACAGATGTAATGATTAGACAGATCTCTTGTTGTAAGTCCTTGCATATGGTCCTTTCTTATTCGGTGGGACCTGAGGATATCACAAAAATGGTTCAGTCTATCACAGCTGCTGTGGAGTTATCCAGTCATTAGACATGGATGACATTCTATTGCGTAGATCAAAATTAAAAAGGGAGGTTGAGGAGACAGCAGGTGGTGTGGTGACTAAGGCACTGGACTCCCCACACAGCCAGCCATGGTTTGGGTCTCAGACCTGGCAGCTTGAAAAGCACACCAGTCATGTGGACGTGCATGCCCAAAATCCCAGAAGGAGAATGGAGGAGAAGGGATTGTGGCATGGCCATCCCTGGGGACGGGGAGGGGAGTGATTTCTCACTTTCCTTCTCTCTGCGCACATGCCCTATGGCAAAAACCTTTAAAAACAAAGCTGGGTAGGTGGGGGAGGTTGAAGGATCAGCAAGTGGTGTGGTTATTAATGCACTGCATCTATGACTAACCACAGTTTGAGTCTCAGACCTGGCAGCTTGTTAATCACACTGGGCGTGTGTGCATGCGTGCCTAAAATTCTGTGAGGAGAAGGGATTTTGGCATGGCCATTTCCCCTGGGGAGTGATTTCTCACTTTCCCTCTTTCTTTTTTTTTTTTTTTTTCAAATTTGGTTTATTATTATCATTTTTTAATCTGACCAGAGAGAGACATGGAGAGAGAGAGCGAGCGAAAGAGAGCGAAAGTGAGAAAATAAGCCATCAGGTCCAGGACTTGAAATGTGGTCAGCCATGTGAGAGTCCAGCACCTCAAAATCCACACCATCTGCTGGCCCAAAATTTAAAGAACTTTCTGTGTTTTAGAGTATACACATATTATTGGTTTTGTAATGTTTACTATCTATGTTACTTTTTACTTTTAGAAGTTTTTGCCTAATGGCATGTGCCATAGAGAGAGACAGAGAGAGACAGTGAGAAGGAAAGCAAGAAATACCCAAGCCACAATCCCTTCTCCTCCATTCTCCTCTCAAGATTGTGAGCAGGCATATACACATACCTGGTGTGATTTTCCAGCCGCCAGGTCCAGGACTTGAACCACAGTCTTTCATACAGGAGTCCAGCAATGTAACTGCTACACCATCTGCTGGCACCACCCTCTTTCTGTCTCTCTTCAGTGAGCACACAGGCTCTATGGCAAAAAAAAAAAAAAAAGAAAGAAAAAGAAAAGAAAAGAAAAAAGAGAAGAGAAAAGGAAAGAAAAGAAAAAAGGAAAAGAAAAGAAAAAAGAGAAGAGAAGAGAAAAGAAAGAAAAGAAAAAGAGGAAAAGAAAAGAAAAGAAGAAAGAAAGAAAGAAAGAAAGAAAAAGAAAAGAAAGACAAAAACAACAACAAAAAAGACAGACAAAAACGGGATGCTGGTCTACGTGAGCCATTATTTCACCCTGCCTGCTGAATGAAGCAGACCTTTTTAGTGTGAATAATGATGAAGACATTTTTTTTTTCCAGATTA